GACTTCCAATATTTGAGGCACCGCAGCCTCAGCAGGGTCATCCTCACTTTGTGCCACGATGTTTTCCAGGATGAGGGATTTTCCCTCACCCAGGACCTCACAGAAATGCTCAGCAAATCTGCAAACCTGTTCCTGGGGGTCGGAGATTGGATCACCATTTTTTTCCCTAATGATGGTAATAGGTGTCGCGCTGCAGGTTACTTTTTTGATGGAGTTAAATAGAGATTTGTGATCACGGGCCACTGAGGCAGACTCCATCTCCTCAGCAACCCGCGACCACCACCCATCCTTGCAGCGCCTCACGGCTCTCCGAACCTCCGAGCGATGGCTGCGTTAAGCCTCCTCATTCTCCGACGTGGGATGCTGTAGACGATGACAGTGGGCCTGTCGCTTTTACTCAGCCAGCTTGAACACCTCCTCTGTCAGCCAGCGTCTCTGGGGAGGTCTGGACCACGTACCCAAAGCAGCCATTGCAGCTGCATGAGCCACAGTCCTAAACCTCGCCCATTTACCCTCAACATCAGGAGCCGTGGGGGACGACGCCAACCCCAGCTGCAAGCGATGATGAAATTTTCGCTTGGAACTTTCATCAGCTAGCTGAGACCATGCCACTGAGGGGTTGAAGAATGACAGGTGTATCTTACAGATGACTAGTCGATGGTCAGTAGGTAGATCAGCTCCACAGTAGGTCCTGGTGTCAGGGACATGGGCCCGCATCCGCTGTTCCATCACTACGTAGTCCAGCAGATGTTCTTGCTTGGACCCGACATGCATCCATGTTGTTGTGTGGATGCGCCGATGCCGGAACAGCGTGTTGGTAATTACAAGCCCATGGGCTGCACAAAAATCTAGCAGCCTCCTACCGTTGTTATTGATTGAGCTGATCTGGCCCATGCCCTCCAATCATTCCAGACCAGGTGCCAGTATCATGACCAACTCGGGCATTGAAGTCACCCAACATGATGACTCTATCCCGAGGGGCCACTTTAGCCAGCACCTGTGACAGGAGGTCATAGAAGGCATCTGACTCATCGGCTTTGCCTGCATCCCTCCACGGATGTTCATCTTCGGTGGGGGCATAAGTAACCACGACCACCATTCCTCGCCTCCGGTTAATGGGAAGGCGAGCCCAAAGTAGCCTGGGGCTTACAGCTTCCCACACCTCACTGCCACGCTCCCACGCCCTCTTCATTCTTTTGTTCAAAAGAAGAGCCACACCCTCTTGTTTGGCAGTCTGCTGCCCCGAATAGAGGACTGTCCACCCCTCATGGTGGCAGGAGCCAGAGCCGGTCCACCGGACCTCCTGAATGCCACATAGATCCAGGCGGTACCAGTCCAGCTCCCGACCCAGGAGTGGCAGCCTCTCCTCCGCAGTGAGCGTTCGAACATTCCACGTGGCCACCCGTTGTGGCTTTTCGTTGTTTCTGGAGGAGCCCCGAGGGTAGATATTCAATCTCCTGGCTCCGCCAATTGGGGTTTCGCCAGGAGACGTCATAGACGCCAGGAGACGTCATAGACGCCGGGCCTCCGGCACAAGCTTATTAATTACACATTTCAGTTTAACTCGTGGTTTAGTGGTAATTAATTGAAGGTGGAGGGGTTACCAGCCCCTCGCACCCATCCAGAGCCCCCGTTTAGCCACTGTGGTGGACACATATGCCATGAGGGGAGGAGCCAATCAAAATTGGACCTCCCCCCACAGCACTGTCCACGACAGAGTTGCCCATCCGGCACTGCATGGAGGTAGGGGTTACACACACACGCACGTACACACAGACACGTATACACAAACACACACATACACTTACACACAGCTGTACACACACACACAGACACGTATACACAAACACACCTATACAAACACACACATACACCTACACACAGCTGTACACACACACGTACACACAGACACACACAGACACGTATACACAAACACACCTATACAAACACACACATGACGACGATGATAATGACGATGACAACGATGATGACGATGATAATGATGATGACGATGATGATGACGACGATGATGATGACGACGATGATGACGATGACGACGATGACGACGACGATGACGACGATGATCTTACCTTACCCAGGATTTTTTTATCGAACGCTTTTCGTCAAAGCCCTTCACCAGAATTATAAATGGTACCTTGGTTATTGATTGGCTGATGGGGTTGAGGTGGAGGGGATGGGATTTTTGTGTTTTGTTGAAGGGGAAACGGATGGTCAAGGAAAGGCGGTGATAGGGGCAGTGGGAAGGATGGTGAGGGAGGTTGATGGTAGAGAGAGTGAGAGGGTGAGGTTAAAGAGGGGGAAGGGGAGAGTAAGGAGAGAGGGGAGGGGAGGAGAGGGAGGGAGGGAGGAGAGGGAGCGAGGGAGGGGAGGGAGGAGAGGGACGGAGCCCCGACGCTGCAGTCCAGCGGTACTACTCGTTGCCACGGCGATGACGTCGTTGGCCTCGTGACTTTGTGACGTCGAAGCGCGCGTGCGCGTGCACGTGCTCCACCTTTGCTCACGACGGCCAAACTCGCGCTCCGATTGGCCGTCCGTCGCGTTGGAAAAATCGTGGAGCCGCGTTGTGTTTCATCACTTTCCCGCGGCGTCAAACGTTCACGGCGGAAGCCCCCCCAAGACTCTCTCTGTCTCTGGGCTCGCGGGGAGCGCTCGGAACGCGGGGAACGAGATCCGTCTCGCCGTTCGTTTTACGTCGTGTCACGGTGACGTCTTAAACGTTATTTTTTTTGTTCAACATGGCTCGGCTGGTTTTATAAAGAGAAATGTATTCGCAGGTCCGATCACCCCCCTCCCCTCCTCCCCCCCTTGCCTGGTTACCTTGGGGTCAGGTGAGAGGGGAAGACCGGGCGAGAGTGGAGGTTTCGGGCCTAGATCGGGCCTCGTTCGGGCCTCGTTTGGGCCTCGTTCGGGCCTCTTTCCGTCCTCGTTCGGGCCTCGTTCGGGCCTAGTTCGGGCCTCTTTCCGGCCTCGTTTGGGCGTCATTCGGGTCTAGTTCGGGCCTCTTTCCGGCCTCGTTTGGGCCTCGTTCGGGCCTAGTTCGGGCCTCTTTCCGGCCTCATTTGGGCCTAGTTCGGGCCTCTTTCCGGCCTAGTTCGGGCCTCTTTCCGGCCTCGTTCGGGCCTATACTTCATCGCACGTGCAGAGGGAGCGCTCGCCTACGCCTAGGAGAGTGGCTGGGGCACAGCGTGCGACTGGAAAGCAACCAGAAAACAAAAACTTTTACACACAAAAGAAAAAAATACTGCCGCGAGTCGCATCGCTTCGGGGCTGGAAGATGTCGCGCGCAACCTCCTTTGAAAGAGTTCGCAGTGAAAGGAGAGTCCCTCGCCGTGTTGTGTTTAAAAAAAACAACAAAATAAATGTTGGCCTACCCAACAGTTTTTTTTATTTTAATGTTGAGGCGCTTTGTTTACAGGTCAACAAGGAGGAGAGCCGCCTCGAGGGCTGGCCAGGTCCAACCACCGCCCCCCGGGGGTTCACTCAGAGGGACCGGGGTGGCTGGCTCAGGAGGAGCCGGAGGGGTGGTTGGTTTTTTTTTGACAGCGGGGAGGGAAAAAGAAGAAAAAACACCGCCCGTTACCGCGCTGCCTCGGCTCGGATGCGGGCGGTGGAAAAACACCACCCGTTACCGCGCTGGCTCGGCTCGGATTCGGGCAGTGGAAAAACACCACCCGTTGCCGCGCTGGCTCGGCTCGGATGCGGGCGGTGGAAAAACACCACCCGTACCATGCTGGCTTGGCTCGGATACGGGCAGTGGGTGGGGGTCAGGGTGGGTGTCACGGTGTTTATATTCCTCCTCCCCCCCCCCCCCTGCTCGCGAGGGGTCACCTGCCTTTAAGTGACCTTTATAGTTACTCTACACACTACGTGGAAGGGGGTGGAGGAGTTTGGTTGGGGGGGAGGTCATCGTGGCAATGAAACTGATGATGATGACGACGATGATGATAATAATAACCATCGGGTTTTTTTTGTTTGTCTTTTTTGATTTACTCTCTGAGCTTGAAATTCCAGCCGCGAGATTTTCGTGACAGTTGCAGACCAAAAAAAAAATGTGTTTTTTTTCTTCGCACGCGATGATTCGTTGGTCGGTCGGTTCGGTCAGTCGGTCCTTCGGTCGGTCCGTCGGTCGGTCCGTCGCTCGGTCGCTCTGTTGTTGATTTTCTATTTAATGATAACGACGAGATGAGTTTCCACGGCATAACCGCCCGTCCGGCCGCCCGCCCGCCCGTCCGCCCGGTGAGTCCGGAGCAAGCGAGGCCGTCCGAGGGCACGGCGGATCGGGCCGAGGTCGAGGGACCACGCGCGGTTTCGGGACGCGCGCACAGACAGAGAGTGACAGAGAGGGATAGAGAGGAGAGGGGGAGGGAGAGGAGAGAGTGATAGAGGAGAGAGTGAGAGGGATAGAGAGGGAGAGGAGAGTGATAGAGAGGGAGCGGAGAGAGGGGGAGGGAGAGGAGAGAGGGATAGAGAGGAGAGAGGGGGAGGGAGAAGAGAGTGATAGAGAGGGATAGAGAGTGATAGAGAGGGAGGGAGGGGAGAGAGGGAGAGAGAGGGGGAGGGAGAGGAGAGAGGGAGAGAGAGGAGAGAGGGATAGAGAGGAGAGAGGGGGAGGGAGAGGAGAGAGAGATAGAGAGGGAGAGGAGAGAGGGGGAGGGAGAAGATACAGTGATAGAGAGGGAGAGGAGAGAGGGGGAGGGAGAAGATACAGTGATAGAGAGGGAGAGGAGAGAGGGGGAGGGAGAGGAGAGAGTGATAGAGAGTGATAGAGAGAGAGTGAGGATACAGTGATAGAGAGGGATGGAGAGAGGGGGATGGAGAGGAGAGAGTGATATAGAGGGAGGGAGTGGAGGGATCCGTTTGTGTTGTCTGTTGCTCGACAGTGGCTGTTTTTGTCTTTTTTTGAGTAAACGATTGGCGGAATTGCATCGTCGGTGGTCGTCTTTGCTTGGAGCCTCGCGTGTTCATCATCGTCATCACCA